AGCTTTGGTTGAGCATGTTCTTCTGACTCAAGGTCCCTTTGTGGGTGAAAAGTTTCTAGAATCTTTGAGACTTTTGCATATGTGTGCATGCACCTGTGTGTTTCTGTGCTGAACAGATGTGAGAGGTTTAGCTGCGCAGGATAAATGCACACAATCCTTATAAAATGTCTAAATAATTGCCTGAGAAATTGCTCTTCAGGCTTATATTGACTTTGATCATAGTGCCAGGATCTCACCGATCTGGATGCTTGGCCTTAGCCAATACAAATAGAGAAAAACATATTTACACAATGTAGGTCAGCCGAAATTCTAGAGCTAATCGAAAGTACCGAGAACAAGAGAAAAAGGAGAGAAACCTAGAAAAACACAATCCAGCTACTTTCTCTTCACCCAAAATAACTTCACGCTTAAAATAACAGACAAGCAGATAATAGAGAAATAAACACAACTATAGCAGACTGATACTAACAAAGCAAAATAGCAGTATCAATAAAATTATCAACATGTGTTTCAAGGCAAAAAGATTAAATAGGATGAAGAAGTTTACCATCCATTGATATAAAATCACCAAGAAAATATAATAGCACTCAGTCTTCACATACCAAATAAGACAATGTCACAATAATATAAATCATCAACTGTTAGTATCTGAATGTGAGAAGACAATCATCATAGGAGATTTGAACACCCCTTTCTCAGAATTTGAAGATCAAGTGAGAGAACTTGAAGTAAAGAAAACGCTTCCTTTGTGAAGAGAATTTGTTTACATATTAGCCAACAGAGAAAATCTCAATAAATTCCCTAAAATAGAAGTCATAAAGACCACATTTTCTGAGTGCTAGTTCAACCCCATGTGGTCAGCAACCTTGCCAGTTCTGTTGACCTCTGTACCTGAACACCTAATGCATTTAGCAGATTGTAGGGATCCATAAGCATTTGTTATACCACAAGGAAGGAAGGGAGGGAAAGAGGGAGGGAGGGAGGGAAGGGGGAAGACCCACACTACAATTCAAAAGCATCATGAAAAATATATCCTCCTCCCCAATATAATCCCTTAGAAATTTGAATTACACTCCTAAAAATAATTCCTGTGTCAAGGAGAAAACTGAAGTGGAAATTTGAACCTATTTAGAAATAAATGGCGATAAGAGCACTATGTATAAAAATGTAGAAATTTTCTCTGAGGAAAATTTATAATCTTAAATGCATTTCTTGAGAAAATGAAAGACTGAAAATAAATGAGATAAAGAGTTCCACCAGAGAAGGTAGAAACAGAAAGTATGAAAGTCAAAGGGGAAATTGTAAAATGAAAACAGAAAATAATAAACTAAACAACAAGAAAATTACTAACAAATTAAATAAGAAAACCTCAAGTTTGACCATGAAAAAGTGGAAAACACAAATAAGAATATTAAGAATAATAAAAAGACAAGAGCTAACACAGAGCTTTCTTAAACTTAAGAAAACACTATGCTCAACTTCATATTCTTAATTTTAAAGTTTAGAAGAAATGGCTTATTTTTAAAGACAATTCAAAGGATCAAAACTAACTCAGGAAGAAGCAACATCACCTTGGTTGGTCCAACATTTACAAATGCATTTCCCAGTCTTTTGTTCATTGATTTTGTTTATAGTGTCTTTGGCCATACAAAATTTCTTCCACCTTGAAATCATACAAATATTTTCTTATAATTCTTCCTTATAATTTATAGTTTTTTTAATTCTTCAGTTATTTTTGGTGTCAGGTGGAGGTCTACCTTTATTTTCTTCCAGATAGATAGCCCACTGTGTTAACATCATTTATTAACCTAAGAGCTACTACTGCTTCATTAAAAAAATATACAAGTGGCTTACTTTAAAATTTGACAAAAGATTTAATGTACATTTCACTGAAAAGGAAATGAAAATGGCCAATAAATATATTTTAAAATGTTACCATTTTTGTTTAAAAATAAAATCAAAACAATCATGACATGCTGTTTTTCGGCTATCTTATTGGCAAATATTTTCAAGTTTGATCCATTTTCAGTGATAGTGAAAGTGTGGGAAAAGGGAAACTCTTAAATGTTATTAGTGGAATTATAAATTTATTTGGCCTTTTTGGAGAGAATTTGCACAGTACAGTTGTCCCACCTTACCCACAGGGGACATGCTCCAAGACCCCTAGAGGATGCCTGAAACTGCAAATAGTACTAAACCCCATATATACTATGCATCCATCACCTGTGATATGTCAGGTGTTCCAAGCATCTTTCAAACATAAGCTCCTTTAATAGTCTCCATAACCTTACAACATAGATACACTTACTATTATTATTGTCAACTGATGGAGAAATTAAGACACCAACAAAAGGAATAACTTGTTTAAGATCAAATATCTAGTACGCGGTTGAGGACTTTGAACATCAGCTGTAAGCTCCATATTCTATTCTCTTAACCATGATATTTGCTTTCTAAAGACTTCAGTTTGGACTCAGAGTCTGAGTTCCTTTCTCTCTGTTGGCTGGGCTCTCCCACGGGTGCTGTATCTATATATTATAAATAAAGTGTAAAAATTCTTCTGACACTATAAGCTCCAAATTTAGTTACTGGTGCCTCACTGTATGTTGATAGCACTCCATAACACAGGATGAATAAATCAATGAATAACATTGTTGAATGCATTACCAGTATCACATATGTCATGCTACAGACATTGCCAAGCACAGTCACACCCTAACATCTCTGCTCTGCTCTGCATCCTCTTCTTTGATGCCACCTAGGAATCTCTGGGGCTTTATAGACCCTCGTAGCTGTGCACACTAAAGGTTCTCTTCTGTCTGTCAGCAAACCCCAGTTCTTGTGCTAATTCCTGCACTTGCTGGGTCTGCACCCTAACCTTTCCTTCACCAAAGGAGAAGTGTCATCCCCAGAGCTGGAATTTTTCAGCAAGGACTTGCCTGATGGGCATTGGTAGTTAAATAGTAGGTGGGGCTGGCATGTTTCAGAAGTCCTAGCATACAGAAATTAATACAATGGTACTCTAATCAGAATCAGCCTAATGAGGTCCAAACTATTCCAGTGTCATCTGTTCCCTGACTGGCTCCCTAATCCAGTAGTGATTTAGCAATAACGATATCCATGTTCTACCCTCTCCTTTTCATTTTTTGGCTAATTATTCTTTACATATTTTATACATTTTTATATAATAAAGGTACAATGATGTTTAAAACAACCCTCCCTGAAAAGATTCATAGCTGTAAAATAATATTCTCATAAATAAGTTGTCCAAACATATTTAAAAGCTTTCCACTTAAAGGTCATGTCAGATGAACAATGAACAAAGATCTTGTCTGGTAACAGAGGATCCATTGTGACCTTACCCTGGAATGGTGAAGGCAGATAGCATAGTGTGGGAGAGTCTGAGGAGATGCCTGAAGGTGAGGCCTCAGAGACACACGAGATAGATGACCTTTCTCAGTGTTTCATAACCAAGGGGTGAGACTAGAAAGAGCAGTGGTTGAAGAGCCCAGGAAGATCCGGTGAGAAATTTCTGTGTAGTTAGGGCACACTTGTGTCTATGCAAATGCAGAGGGAGGGGTTCAGTTCATAAAGAGAGGGTAAAAGTACAGAGGCAATATGGGAATATTTGGGGAATGAATTTAGTAGAAAAGAAGAAAGGATGAGATCCAGATCACCATTGAAGAATTATAGAAATTTCTTTAAATATAATTAGAGGAAATTGGGAAACAATAGAAGCTTATCAGAGATAGCTGCAGATTTGTCAACTATAGCAGTAAAATTTCAATTTTTCTGTGAACTAGCAGACAAGGGATAGCGAATATATGTGAAAGAAAAAAGTAGAGAAACTTTGAAACAGTCTTTAGGAAAAATTGAGTAGTAAATATTCCAATACATAAAAGGAAAGTAAAATTTTCAGGCAGTATGGATGCTTCCCAAGGGATCCAGATGATTTTGTATTTACAGTGGTACCAAAATATCATGCAGTTATCCTAAGACCTGCAGTAGCTATGGCATGGCAGAAAATCAGGATCTTTGGATTTGAATTTTTGCAAGGCAGATATGATGAGTGCTAAGGAATTTTGGGCTATTCCAGGGAATTATTGAGATCATAGTCCACGGAATCCAGGATCAATCGGAATGTGTGTGTTACATGCTGTTGAGTCAGCTTGGACTCCCGGCAACTCTGCGAATGAGTGGTGTCCACACTGCCCTGTCCTCAACAGCCCTGCTCAGCTCCTATAGGCTCCTGCCTCTGGCTTCTTTCATGGAGTCAGTCCATGTCCTGTTTGTTCTTCTTCTTTTCCTGCTGTCTTCTATTTTCCCCAGCACTATTGTCTTTTCCAAAAAACGATGCCTTCTCATTGATAAGAATAGGAGTGGAGAAATCAGCATAAGAACATGGTGATCTTGCATAACTTGCAATCTTAAAAAACAGGTATCTCTTGTATGAGTGTTTTAAAAATACTGCAAATCAGAAATTTGTAGAGAGTGAATATGTTTTCTGAATTAGTTATTTTTGAATATGACCAAACTTCTGGGACATGGGAGTGAGTCACTAAAAGTGGGTTGGCTGGTGATGTAACTAATGATTTTAGCTCTAAAAAACGAGTGGTCAATGGATTAACCAAATGAATACCCACATAACACAGAGGAATGGTAGGATTTTGGACAGAAAGGGACTGGGGACTGTGTATCATGAGAGAGTACCAAGACTCAATCAGGTACAGTGGAGAGTGACAAGGGCAAAAAGAGAATACCATTATACTAATGAAGTAGAGGGTTTTATAAGATGTTGGAGGAGAAATGGTCTGGAGTAGTTTCTGAGTTTTGGTGCAAATATGCTCAATGATGCCCCAGAATGCAGGTCAGACCTACCTCCAGAGGGAGGGCAAGAGTACAACACGGCTCTGAAGTAATTGTCCTGAGAAGGCAGGTTTCATTTATGATGTAGATCGAATTTCACAATTTATTTTTTATAGAGTAAATGGAAAAGAAACATGATGGTCAAGACTTCACAGAGGAAGCATCGTGACTGGGTAAACCAATCTAAGCCAAAGCCTGGTTTAAGCATCTCCATCCCTTTGAGGATGTCCAGTTACATATTCAAGAGGCCAGTTACGAAAATCACATCCCACCCAGGCAATGAGGTCAGATACCATCACTGGGAGGAAACCTTGGACAAGCCCCAACAGCTGTGCTGGCAGAAGAGGCTTCAAGGGCTCCAGGCCTGTAGCAGCACAGGACAACTCTTAAGTCCCTTCGATCTTACCAAAGCCTTGCAAAAACTTGTGCCTAACCGCACAGGTGAGTCCCTGCCAGGTGTCCTCGCAGGTAGTCCTCATGGCAGCTCCATGGCCAACTCTGCTGGGTCCTCACATTTGGCAAAGATGATTCCAGGAGCTGGTCTGGGTAACCCACAGATCCCCTGCAAACAATTCCTGGTAACTGAGAAAGATATCAGAAAACAGGAAAGGAAAATGAAGATGGCAAGAGAGAGACTGGCGATAGCTTTGATTGCAGACAGGCTTGCTAGTGAGGCAGAAAAAATGAGGGACCAAGAAGGGCAACCTGAAAAACCCTAGGAAATAAAAGAGAACATGGTACAGGTGAAATGAAGCATGGCATTTTAACGTCTCTTCGCAGTGTCCATAGTGTTTTCTTGTTTTGAGGGGTTTTTAAAAATGTACCAATACTTTTCTTTATTAAACTTCCTTGTGTGACAAAGAATATATAGACAGTGGTATTTTTGAAGTGAGATATTTGGTTTCAGTTGAGGAGAGAAAGATCTTTCCTTTTAACATTATATTCTCATTTTTCTTTGGCTACATGTGTTATTTGTATTTTAAAGTTAGCAGAGAGTTATCAAAATCATGAGATTATTTAATGTTCTGTTTTCACAGAGTAAATACTACCTAGTCAGAATGGATATTCTTTTTGTGTAATGCTCCAATAGATGCCAAAATAATATTTATTAAAGAGCTTTTTTTGAATTATTTTTTAATTAATTAATTTATTTTTTCAAATACATTTGTCTCTGCCTTCCCCCCACCACTTTCCCTTGCCCCCTCCCTCCCTCCCTTCCTCCCTCAACTCTTCCCCTTTGGTTTTGTCCATGAGTCCTTGCTATATGTTCCTTGACTATCCCCTTCCCCTCCTTTTCCCCCGCCCCCCCCTCCTTCCCTCTTGTCTCTGTTGGTTTCTTTTCCTTTCAGTGTTGCTGGTTGTATTTTCCTTGCATCTTTGTATTGTTGGTTAGGTTCCACTTATAGGTGAGATCATAAGGTATTTTGTCTTTCGCCCCCTGGCTTATTTCGCTTAGCATGATGCTCTCCAGTTCCATCCATGCTGTCGCGAAGTTTAGGAGTTCTTTTTTTCTTTCTGCTGCATAGTATTCCATTGTGTAAATGTACCATAGTTTTTTGATCCAATCATCTACTGATGGGCATTTAGGTTGCTTCCAACACTTGGCTATTGTAAATTGTGCTGCTATGAACATTGAGGTGCATAGGTTCTTTTGAATTGGCGTTTTGGGATTCTTAGGGTATAGTCCCAGCAGGGGAGTCACTGGCTCAAAAGGCAGTTCCATTTTCAGCTTTTATTTTTTTATCATTCAAATACATTCGTCTCCATTTTCCCACCACCACTTTCCCCTGCCCCACCCACCCTCATTCCTTCCCCACCTTGGCTTTGTCCATGTGTCCTCTATACATGTTCCTTGACTTGACTTCTCTTTCTTTTCCCAGTTACCCAACTCTCTTCTCCTGTCTTGTTACTGTCGGTTAGTTTTTTATTTCAATGTTGCTGGTTATATTTTTCTTGCTTGTTTGTTTTGTTGATTAGGTTCTACTTATAGGTGAGATCATATGGTATTCGCCTTTCACCCCCTGGCTTATATCGCTTAGCATAGTGCTCTCCAGTTCCATCCATGCTGTCATGAAGGGTAGTAGCTCTTTCTTTCTTTCTGCTGCATAGTATTCCATTATGTAAATGTACCATAGTTTTTTGATCTACTCATTTATTTATGGGCACTTAGGTTGCTTCCAGCACTTAGCTATTATGTATTGTGCTGCTAAGAACATTGGGGTGCATAGGTTGCTATGAATTGGTGTTTTGGGATTCTTAGGGTATAATCCCAGCAGTGGAATTGCTGGGTCTAAAGGCAGTTCCATTTTTAGCTTTTTGAGGAAGTTCCAAACTGTTTTCCAAAGTGGTTGTACCAGTCTGCATTCCCACCAACCGAGTACTAGGTTTCCCTTTTCTCCACAACCTCACCAGCACTTGTTTGTTGATTTGTTTATGATGGTCATTCTGACCAGTGTGAAGTGGGATATTGTGATTTTAATTTGCATTTCTCTGATGGATAGTGATGCTGAGCATCCTTTCATATGTATCTGGGCCCTATGTATGTCCTCCTTGGAGAAGTGTCTATTCAGGTCCTTTGCCCATTTTTTAATTGGATTGTTTGTCTTCTTGGAGTGGAGTAAAGTGAGTTCTTTATATATTTTGGAGATCAAACCTCTATCTGATGTATCATTAGCAAATATATTTTCCCATATGGTTGGTTCCCTTTTCATTTTGCTGATGTTTTCTTTAAACACACAGAAGCTTCTTATTTTGATGCAGTCCCATTTGTTTATTCTTTCTTTTATGTCCCTTGCTCTAGGGGACATATTGGTGAAAATATTGCTGTGTGGAATGTCTGAGAGTTTCCTGCCTACGTTCTCCTCTAAGACTTTTATGGTGTCGTGACTTATATTTAAGTCTTTTATCCATCTTGAGTTTATTTTTGTGTATGATGTTAGTTGTTGGTCATGTTTCATTTTTTTTGCATGTTTTTATCTGGATCTCCCAACACCATTTGTTGAAGAGGCTATTTTTACTCCATTTTATGCTTCTGCCCCATTTTTCAAATATTATTTGACCATAGAGACATGGGTTTATTTCCAGGCTCTCTATTCTGTTCCATTGATCAATGTGTCTGTTCTTATGCCAGTACCAGACTGTTTTGATTACAGTGGCCTTGTAACATGTTTTGAGGTCAGCTATTATGATCCCTCTACTTTTTTCTTTCTCAAAATTGATGCAGGTATTCAGGGTCATTTATGAATCCATATAAATTTTTGAAATGTTCGTTCTATATCTGTGAAATACATCATTGATATTTTAATAGGGATTGAATTGAATCTATAAATTGCTTTGGGTAGTATGGACATTTTGATGATGTTAATTCTTCCAATCCATGGACACAGTATATGCTTCCATTTATTTGTGTCTTCCTTAATTTCTTTCAATTCAATATTGTATAATTTTCTGAGTATTGATCTTTTACCTCTTTGGTTAAATTTATTTTTAAGTACTTTATTTTTATTGTTGCTATAGCAAATAGGATTTTTTTCCTGATTTCTGATTCTGATATTTCATTGTTGGTGTACCAAAATGCCTTCAATTTCTGAATATTGACTTTGTATCCCACTGTTTCACCAAATTCATGTATTAGGTCTAGTTTTTTGGTGGAGTCTATAGGGTTTTCTATGTACATTATCATGTCATCTGCAAATAAGGACAGTTTTACTTCCCCCTTTCCAATGTGGATGTCTTTTATTTCTTTTTATTTTTTTAATTTTTAAATCATGTTTATTCTATTATAGTTGTCTCAGTTTTTACCCCTTACCCCCCTCCACCCATCCCACCCCCACCCCCCACTCCCACAGTCAATTCCCACACTGTTGTCCATGTCCGTGGGTCATTCATACATGTTCTTTGTCTAGTCCCTTCTCCTTCTTTCCACCATTGTCCTCTTTTCCCATCCTCTCTGGTCACTTTCAGTTTGCTCCATGTCTCTGTGCCTGTGGTTTATTTTGTTCGTTAGTTTATTTCTTTGAATAGAGTCCACTTATAGGTGAGAGCATATGGTATTTTGTCTTTCGCCCCCTGGCTTATTTCACTTAGCTTAATATTCTCCAGTTCCATCCAGGTTGTCACAAAGGTTGGAGTCTATCTCTTTCTTTCTCTCTCTTTCTTTCTTTCTTAAGTGCAGATTGATTTTATTTATTTTTTTAATGTCAAAGTTAATTATAAAATATTAAATTTAAAGCCATTATAAATCTCAGCAATTAAACCAACATGACACCAGCACAGAAATAATCAAGTAGATCAATGAAATATAATGAGCATTCTAGAGACAAACATATATATCTAACAATGTAATATATGATTAAGTTGATATTTCAAATCAATGGGTAAAATATGGCTTATTCCACAAATAAGGTGCATGAAGCACTATTACTTGAAATAAAACAAATATAGAACCCTATTTCACACATTATACAAGAAATAATCAGGTGAGTTAAAAATCAATATGTAGAATCTAAGGAGTTCTAGAAGAAAATAGAACTAATATTTTTCATGACCTGAAGTAAAATATTCAAACCCAGAAGCTATAAAGTAAATATTGACAGTATGACTATATTAAACATTTAACTATATAGTAATATACATATAAAAAAAGTTAAAGGACAAGAAATAGAATAGGAAAGTATTTGCAACACATCTAAAACATGGTTAATAGGTTGGGGATTTTTGTTTTGTTTTTTTTTTAGGGAAAGAAGTTCCACAGATCTTTAATCAATAAATGGATAAGGAATACCAAAAAGTCATTTAAAGCTTTTTAAAAAAAAATAATAGAAATAAGCAAGAAATATACTAAAACAGGTTTAGCTTCAACAAAGAGTAAAGGAACAATTAAAATAACATCATTGTCACAATCAGATTAATGAGTATTAAAAATATTGGTAATATCAAATCTTGGCAACTCTGAAAGGAACTGGGTATTCAAGTAACATTTTCTTCATCTTAAAGCAGTCCCATTAGCATATTTTGCAATGCTGGTTTGGTGGAGGTGTATTCTTTTAGCCTTCTTTTGTCTGGGAAACTCCTTATTTCACCTTCCATTTTAATTGAGAGTCTTTTTGGGTAGAGCAGTCTTGGTTACAGGCGTTTGCTTTTCATTACTTGGAATATTTCTTGCCAATCCCTTCTGGCTTGCAGTGTTTCTGTTAAGAAGTCAGCTGCTAGTCATACTGGGGTTCCCTTCTATGTTACTACCTCTTTCTCCCTTGCTTCCTTTAGGATTCTGTTTGTCTTTGATATTTGCCATTTCAGTGATGATGTGTCTTGGGGAGGGCCTCATTGGGTTCCTCTTGAATGGGACCCTCTGTGCTTCCTGGAGCTGTGTGACTTTTTCTCTCCTCCAATTAGGGAAGTTTTCCATCATTACTTTTTCAAACAGGTCCTCTATCCCTTCCTCCTCCTCTTCTGCTTCTGGTATCCCTATTATATGGAGATTGTTACATTTCAGGTTGTCCTGCATTTCCCTAAATGCCTCTTCATTCTTTTTTAGTCTTTTTTCATTTTCTTTCTCTTTCTGGGAGCTTTTTTCTACCTTATCCTCCAGCTCGCTGATTTGATCCTCTCCTTCATCTAGCCTGCTCTTGATTCCTTCTACTATGTTCTTCAATTCAGAAACTGTATTCATTTCCTCTTGTCTCTTATTGATAGTTTCTATGTCCTTTTTCATGCAGAT